CAGTATCAGCTTGATTTTGGTATGTGTATGCTATATTTATAATATATTTATATTTTCTGAATTGCACACATGGCTTTTTATGTTCTATTTAAGAAATAAAAAATAGCTGAACAAGTCTGGCTACTCTAAAATCACAGCCTATAACTTTTCCTCTACATTAATCTCCCGTGGTAGGTTATTCCATGTAGCTAAACCATTAGCCTGTGCCTTATTGTAACTGCTAAATTTACCTCAGGACCTCAGTGGTGTGGTATCCCCCCCCCCACCACACACACACACACACACCCCTATAAAAAAAAAGAAAAAAAAAAAGAATATTCATCATTTGAGGTTCTTGCACTTGCTACAAATGTCCATGCTTTTCAGCTTATGCAGGGCTTCTGCCAAGACCAGAAAACATTTGACAGCAACTCACTTAGATTAAATGAATTGTGATTGCTTTGTGTCCTGTTTTGTGAAAGGAGTTATCTGACCCACTGTACAGCGCTATGGAATTTGCAGGCACTATAGAAATAATAATAATCCGATGCAGTCAAAGTAATGTGCATGCGCATGACTTTCGTTCAGTCTCTTCCACAGTTAGGTGAAGACTTGTATAGCTTGTGTATATCGCTCCATTATTTGGATAAGCAGAGGAGGACATACAGCTTTGTGTTCTGACATTAGTCCCTGAGGGTTCATAGCTTCAGCAATTTCTGGTGATCACAGCAGTTATTTGAAGGGAGGTGGGGATAGGGCCCGCAGGGGAGCAGCACAGAGGCAGCCTACAGCTCAGGTAATTGAGGGGTGGGTGGGTGGGGGGAGACAGCATAGAGGAAGGTAACGTAGAAGGAGCAGAAAGGGATCAGAAAGAGAAAGGGGCAGAAGGGCGCAAAATAAGCATAAAGTAGCAGAAAGGTAAAGGAGCAGAAGGAGCCTCAGAAGAAAAAGAAGACAGTGTCAACTGAAGGAGAGGAAAAGGAGATTGGAGCAGGAAGGACAAATGAAGTGAACCCTCCACTTTATTCTGGACACCACATCATAAGGCTTTGGTACCTGGGCCTGGCAGGGAAACTTTGGACCTTCTCATCTCCCCAGATAAAAAAAAATATCAGTGTTAATGTGTTCACTTTTATTTACTGAGTGTCAGGAAGCACAGAGTGCCGCTGGGTAGGGGTGCCGCTGATTGACTAGAGCGGTCAGCTGGCACTCTAGCCAATCAGTAGCTCCCCATTCATAAAAAAGTAAAACATTTTTATGAATCGGGAACTAGCGATTGGCTTAGAGCGTCAGCTGACCACTCTAGTCAATCAGCGGCACCCATGCCTGACGTCAATCTGCACTTACTGACACTCTGTTTCAGAAGCCGAATACCACTGAGCGACCTGGAGCTGGAGGAAGCCTTTGGGGTTAAACCATTTGAGAGCGGTTTCACCCCTTAAAGGAAAGAGAGCGCCCAGGGGCCTCCTGGCATCATAGCATTTTCATTTAGATGAAGCTGTTATGGTGACCAGAATGTTCATTTAATTTGCTCAAAGGAACACTATAGTGTCAGGAATACAAACATGTATTCCTGACACCATAGTTGTGAAAACGCTATTCACCCTGGCTTTATGTGATAATGACTATGCTCCTTCCCTTTCATGACACTGTCAAAAAGGGACTAAGCATAGATGTCATTACAATTATGCCCCCCTGGAAAAATTCCTGCGGACGCCCATGGATGGGGGGCCTTCTTGCAAGGGAGTTGCTATAAATGTTGGAGTGTCCCTTTATCCATTTAGGTGGCTTCTTCTTTTCTAAACAAGTGGTAATCATAGAATATAAATCTTGAGACGAGGCGTAATAAACATTTGAGTACATATGTTAGTCCAGTGATGCAAATTCTAAATGGAGGTTTGCAGTATCTTCTAAGGCCTTTTAGAAACATAGAAACATAGAATGTGACGGCAGATAAGAACCATTCGGCCCATCTAGTCTGCCCAATTTTCTAAATACTTTCATTAGTCCCTAGCCTTATCTTATAGTTAGGATAGCCTTATGTCTATCCCATGCATGCTTAAACTCCTTTACTGTGTTAAGCTCTACCACTTCAGCTGGTTTTATGACATTTTGTAATGATAGTTTTCATGAAATTATCAGTTTATCAAGTTGAAATAATTCTTCTAAAAGCTTGCCATTCCTGAATTCTGTTAGCCCAGAAAACATGTTTTTGACATATAGTGCTATACTGCACGACTTTGCATATTGAAGAGATTGTAGTCAAGTTTGCTCCTTGCCCTTATAATGCTGCTATTTGTGTTCTAACTGCATCTTCAGTCCCCCATCCCATAGATCAGAGTTCTCGAAACTCTGGCACTCCAGATGTTACTGAATACAACTCCCATGATTCTCTGGCAATTTATTTCATTCAAAGAATCAAGGTAGTCATAGTTGTGCAACGTTTGGAGAACCCTGCCGTACATAACACAATTTGCAAAAAAGTAATGATGGTCCAGGTACTCAAGTTCAATCCACTGGGCAGATTTATTGAAGCAGAATCAACGTTTCGGCCCACGACAGGGCCTTTGTCAGGCTGAGAAAAGCATTAGATGAATACAGTGCCTTCCTGGAGTGTAACTCCCACTAATCTCAGGTAAAATGGGACATGTATTACCCAGGAGAGGGAAAATAACATAAACCAGGAAGCTGCATATTAGGGGAAATAAACAAGGAAAGTGCATATTAGGGAAATAATATAAACAAGGAAAGTGCATATTAGGGAAATAATATAAACCAGGAAGGTGCACATTAGGGGAAATAACATAAACCAGGAAGGTGCATATTAGGGAAATAATATAAACCAGGAAGCTGTATATTGCAGTAATAACATAAACCAGGAAGCTGTATATTGTGGTAATAACATAAACCAGGAAGGTGTATATTGTGGTACTAACATAAACCAGGAAGATGCATATTAGGAAATAACATAAACCAGGAAGCTGCATATTGGGGGAAATAACAAACCAGGAAGCTGCATATTAGGGGAAATAACATAAACCAGGAAGCTGCATATTAGGAAATAACATAAACCAGGAAGCTGTATATTATGGTAATAACATAAACCAGGAAGCTGCATATTGTGGTATTAACATAAACCAGGAAGCTGTATATTGTGGTAATAACATAAACCAGGAAGCTGCATATTGGGAAATAACATAAACCAGGAAGCTGTATATTGGGGGAAATAACATAAACCAGGAAGCTGCATATTAGGGGAAATAACATAAACCAGGAAGCTGCATATTAGGAAATAACATAAACCAGGAAGCTGTATATTGGGGGAAATAACATAAACCAGGAAGCTGTATATTGTGGTACTAACATAAACCAGGAAGCTGTATATTGTGGAAATAACATAAACCAGGAAGCTGCATATTAGGGGAAAGAACATAAACCAAGAAGCTGCATATTAGGAAATAACATAAACCAGGAAGCTGTATATTGTGGTACTAACATAAACCAGGAAGCTGTATATTGTGGTACTAACATAAACCAGGAAGCTGTATATTGTGGTATTAACATAAACCAGGAAGCTGTATATTGTGGTACTAACATAAACCAGGAAGCTGTATATTGTGGTAATAACATAAACCAGGAAGCTGTATATTGTGGTAATAACATAAACCAGGAAGCTGCATATTAGGGGAAATAACATAAACCAGGAAGCTGTATATTGTGGTACTAACATAAACCAGGAAGGTGTATATTGTGGCAATAACATAAAGCAGGATATTTATATATATATATTGTGGTAATATTATAAAGCAGGATATTTATTTATATATTGTGGTAATATTATAAAGCAGGATATTTATATATATATTGTGGTAATATTATAAAGCAGGATATTTATTTATATATTGTGGTAATATTATAAAGCAGGATATTTATTTATTGTGGTAATATTATAAAGCAGGATATTTATTTATATATTGTGGTAATATTATAAAGCAGGATATTTATTTATATATTGTGGTAATATTATAAAGCAGGATATTTATTTATTTATTGTGGTAATATTATAAAGCAGTATATTTATTTATTGTGGTAATATTATAAAGCAGGATATTTATTTATATATTGTGGTAATATTATAAAGCAGGATATTTATTTATATATTGTGGTAATATTATAAAGCAGGATATTTATTTATTGTGGTAATATTATAAAGCAGGATATTTATTTATTGTGGTAATAATATAAAGCAGGATATTTGTTTATTGTGGTAATATTATAAAGCAGGATATTTATTTATTGTGGTAATATTATAAAGCAGGATATTTATATATTTATTGTGGTAATATTATAAAGCAGGATATTTATTTATTTATTGTGGTAATATTATAAAGCAGGATATTTATTTATTTATTGTGGTAATATTATAAAGCAGGATATTTATTTATTGTGGTAATATTATAAAGCAGGATATTTATATATTTATTGTGGTAATATTATAAAGCAGTATATTTATTTATTGTGGTAATATTATAAAGCAGGATATTTATTTATTTATTGTGGTAATATTATAAAGCAGGATATTTATATATTTATTGTGGTAATAATATAAAGCAGGATATTTGTTTATTGTGGTAATATTATAAAGCAGTATATTTATTTATTTATTGTGGTAATATTATAAAGCAGGATATTTATTTATTTATTGTGGTAATATTATAAAGCAGTATATTTATTTATTTATTGTGGTAATATTATAAAGCAGGATATTTATTTATTTTGGTAATATTATAAAGCAGGATATTTATTTATTGTGGTATTATTATAAAGCAGGATATTTATTTATTTATTGTGGTAATAAATGTTTATTTGGACTCTGGTTTATAATGGAAGGGCCCATGGTGCAGGGATTGTGTCGCGCTGAGCATTGTGGGTGATTTAGGCCCCCGGGGGCCGACTTGGTGACTGTGAATGAGGCCTGCGCGGCCTTTGTGTGAGCGAACCATGTGCTCAGCTGTCTGCGCATGCTCAGACCCGGCCGCTACCATCTCCGCGCCGAGGGGGGGCGGTTTATGGTTTCTCCTGTCCCGTTACTCAGTATCCCGCTCGCAGTGCTGTGGATTCCACACATTCTGTGTGAATGTGAAACAGGTTTATTATTAGAGAATCTCGGTGATTCCCAGTGATCAGAACCCCGGGTTCTGGCGGCCATTATCGCGTGGTCCCCCCTCCCCCGGCTGTAGTGGTATCGCCCAGGCCTTGATGAGTCGCTGAGAGGAAGAAGCGGCCGCCATTTTGTGAAGTGCAGAGAGCGGGAGCGTCAGGTCTCAGCGCGTACAGAACCAGCAGCCCAAACGGAACCAGAATTCTCCCAGCTCCCCCCTCTCCGGTCCCCGAACTGCTCCACCGTGGATTTCATCGATAACCTTCCCGAACAAGAGGTGAGTGACGGCGGCAGCAGATCACTGCCAGACCGCGTGTCCGGGCCTAGTGGGCCTCACTGTCTGATACCGGGCCCGAATTAATTATAGCGGGCCCGGATTAATGCTAGTGGGCCTCACTGTCTGCCCACCGCGCCTGAGTTAATACCGGGCATCGATTAATACCGGGCTTAGTAGGCCTCACTGTCTGATACCGGGCCCGAATTAATGCTAGCGGGCCCAGTAGGCCTCACTGTCTGAATTACCAGTTACTGAGCCTGAATTACCAAATATTTCCCATCTCTGGCCCAGGCCTGAAATACCCCATATTACCCATCACTGGGCCTCCTTACCTCCTCTTATAATATTGTAAATTGCAACGGAATCTGTTGGCGCTATATAAATGATAATAATGGAGCGTCATTGTCTATTACTGGGCCCTCATTGTCCATCACTGCACAAGGCCTCAATTACTCAATGTTTATTACTGGGCCCTCTTTGTTTGTAACTGGGCCGTGCCTGAAATACCCCATATTACCCACTACTGGGCCGTGCCTGAAATACCCCATATTACCCACTACTGGGCCAGACCTGAAATACCCCATATTACCCACTACTGGGCCAGACCTGAAATACCCCATATTACCCACTACTGGGCCAGACCTGAAATACCCCATATTACCCACTACTGGGCCAGACCTGAAATACCCCATATTACCCACTACTGGGCCAGACCTGAAATACCCCATATTACCCACTACTGGGCCAGACCTGAAATACCCCATATTGCCCATCACTGGGAACCTCACTTCACACCTGGATCCAGTCCTGAAGTACTCTGCATTTACCAGTTTCTGTTCCATCACTAGGGCAAGCATGAATAATTCTGAGATTTAGTCTGGTATCTTAAATTATCCAGTGCTCGGTGCAAGGCTGAATTGCATTGGATTTGTAAATTTGAGCTTTAAGTCTAACTTTTTTGGCAAGAGGTTTTGGGGGGCAAGGAATAATAAAAAAATCTACTTTGACATTACTGATCCACTGTTAATTGCAGTAAGTACCTTTTACAGCTGAAAATTAAGGTTTTACTTTATCTTTATTTTGTAGTGAGCTCTCCTGGTATCAGGAAGTTGAAGTGTTGTAAAATGTTTTAGTTTTCTGTCTAAAAATATAGTTGGCATTTGATGTTTGCTCGTGCTCTAACCTGGCTTCTAATTTCAGTGTGCAGCCATGGAGATGGAATATATCAGGGTTGCGGAGGATGAGAATGAAGAGCCAATGGAAATACCATCGGAAGATGATGGAACTGTCCTCCTTTCTACAGTTACTGCCCAGTTTCCTGGGGCCTGTGGTCTGAGATACAGAAACCCAGTGAATCAGTGTATGCGTGGTGTTCGGCTAGTGGAAGGCATCCTTCATGCCCCTGAGAGTGGCTGGGGCAACCTAATATATGTTGTCAATTATCCTAAAGGTGAGTGCTTTTGCCTCAGGGTGTTTGGACCATTTGTTTAACATTCTTGTGTGTAACAGAAATTCCATATTAATTTGGAAGGGTAACTGGCATTGTCGGTTATAGGATATTCTCTTCTGGTAGAGGCTAGGTTTTAGTTGTGAAGCACTAGGCTGAAATACTTGTAGTGCTCATTTACATGGGCACTGTATGCACCACAACTGCTTCATCTCAAAGTGGAGATATTGTCTAGATTATTGTGCTGTCTTTCAATCCAGTGTTAAACATTTACTTTTTAATGCTAAACAAGAGTTCCCAGCAACCTCTACTCTGTGCTACTTGGGTTAATGAGGAGGTATTAGTCTGAGCAGCAGTGAGCAAAGTGAGTGGCTGATCACATTTAACCTGCCATTGCAAGTGTGAATCTCTATGACTATAACTGTGTAATATCTAGCTTTGTCATGCCTCCAGTGGAGGTGGGGTACAGGGAGCTAGGGAACCTCATTCACTATTAAACTGTCTGAAAATGGAGGGATGGTCCTCTGACTCCAGGTACTATAATACATTAAATGTGAAATTAATATAGTGTCTACAGTGGCACTAAGTTCAGTGTGCTTTCCCAGCTATCATGTGGCATTTAGAAGAAACCTAATGTCACTTCTTTGGGGCAGCAGAACAAATATATATAAAAAAGAAATTGTTAAACCACGCAATCTGTCACTTAAAGGGATATATTATAGGCATCAAAACAAATGGAGCAGTTTGGGTGTAAAGTCCTGCTGCTCAATTCTGACAGAGTTAAATCACTTTTGTTTCTGTCCATGTAGTCATAGCTACATCTCTCCTGGCTGATTCACACCACAGCCTGCATAAAATGTTTTTAATCAAACATTTAAAGTAAGTTAATATCTCCTGCTCTGTAAATTAAACTTTAATCACACACAGCTATTTAGAAATCTGGTGGTAAAAAATTCTAATGTGTAAGCTTCCTTTATTGCACTGCCTGTTTAATTCAGAATTTCTTAAATCACTAGCAGGTGGGTGTGGATAGGGCTGCCTAAATAGTGAGTTAAAACCTAAAAGGCATCGAAGTGAGACTGCATGGACATATGATCAATACACCAAAACTGCTTCATTAAGTTGGTTTTGGTGCATATAGTATAGTCTGTTCTTTATAATCCATTTAATGCCCCATAAACCTAACTTTGCATATTTAAGCTGCTTGCTATTAAACCTTTGTCTTCAGATAACAAGAGAAAAATGGATGAAGCAGATGCATCTTCTGCTGTGAAGATCAAACGTGCGGTTACAAAAACATCAGATTTAATTGTTTTGGGATTGCCATGGAAAACTACAGAACAGGATCTGAAAGACTATTTCAGCACGTTCGGTGAAGTCATCATGGTCCAGGTTATATATCTTATTACAATACACTTTATGATTCTACACAGATTCAATACTTGGCTCTCTAGACTTACTCTATCATGTTTTTGCAGGTAAAAAAAGATGCCAAGACTGGACATTCAAAAGGTTTTGGCTTTGTCAGATTTACAGAATATGAAACACAAGTGAAAGTAATGTCTCAGCGCCATATGATTGATGGTCGATGGTGTGATTGCAAACTACCAAACTCAAAGGTACTACTAACCTGTCTGTTTCATAGCTGTACTTGCCAAATGTGGAAAGTGTCCTTTGAGCGCTGTTTGTCTCCCTCATCAAGGGCACTGGCGATATAATTGACTTTGTCCGTTGCTTGTTAAGAAGTCTCTCCTGCTTGATGAAGAGTAGGACTTTTTTGGCTAATAAAGAGGCTTGTATAACTAAACAAACTGCACCCAGAATGTTATCAATGTTAATCAGTGCTAATAACAGGTCATGGTAAGAATCCCTTTAAAATGTTTTCCATGTTGCCTAAAATATTTGCTGAAAATCCATGGCTTCTTCATCCAGTTAAACTGGATTTGTTTTGCTGACTCTTGTGACCCTTTAAAGCATAAAAACTGGCAGTTTTTCTGCAGTTAACAGTTTATGCATATTGACTTCCAAGAACAGAACACTTCTCACTGATTATTTAGTCCAGTGTACACTTTAACAAGATCTAAACTTGTTTTAATGTTACAACTTACAATAGGTAATCCAGTTTCTATTTTTACTCTCATTCAATCTCAAATCTAAGGGGAATTTTTTCTGTTTTTCACAATAGCAGAGTCCTGATGAACCCATGCGGAGCCGGAAGGTGTTCGTTGGACGTTGCACAGAGGATATGAGTGCTGATGAGCTGCGTCAGTTCTTCACCCAGTATGGTGAAGTGGTGGATGTCTTTATTCCCAAGCCCTTCAGAGCATTTGCATTTGTTACATTTGCTGATGATCAGGTAAGAAATTGATTGGATGCAGGCAATGGTATATAAAGTAAATTGTAGCTTTGGTGTTTTGTGTGTTGTCTCCACCTAAGGGTGTTATATTTTTATTTAGCACGTTTTTATTTTGTTAATGCTATAATTGACTTTTGCAAACACATTTTTCATTTTAGTAGGGGGCAGTAATGAGCTTTTAGTACTTGATAAGACTTGTTCTCATCTTTCTGTGCCCCCTTGCTGTGCAGGCAATAGAAGCTGTATTTGACTGTAATTGGTCAAATGTGTTGCTACAATCCTCCTACTCCTGTCTATGTACCACTGTTCTTCCCCAGCACTCTAGAATATTTTGTCTAAGGGATATGAAAGCCCATGTATTAAACATTTTTGTTTTCTTCCTTTAGGTTGCTCAATCACTTTGTGGAGAAGACTTGATAATTAAAGGAGTCAGCGTACATGTATCTACCGCAGAACCCAAGCACAATAGTAATAGGCAGCTAGAGAGAGGCGGAGGAAGATTTCCTGGGCCAGGATTTGGCAATCAGGGCTACCCCAGTGCAAGGCCCAGTGGTGGACCCCTTGGAAATAACCAAGGTGGAAACATGGGTGGAGGGGGTGGGATGAATTTTGGGGCATTTAGCATTAACCCAGCAATGATGGCAGCTGCCCAAGCAGCTCTGCAGAGTAGCTGGGGGATGATGGGGATGTTGGCCAGTCAGCAGAACCAATCTGGTCCTCCAGGTAGTGGGCAGGGCCAAGGCAATCAGCAAAGAGAACAACCACAGAGCTTTGGGTCTGCAAACAATTCATACGGATCAAATTCAGGTGCAATTGGTTGGGGTTCTCCTAATACTGGGTCCAGCAGTGGGTTTAATGGTGGGTTTAGTTCGAGTATGGAATCCAAATCTTCTGGTTGGGGCATGTAGAGATTAAGAGGTGCTAAAATGTATTGTATGACTGGTAAACATTTCCCAATGTCATGGTAAGTATATTGTAAAATGCATTTACAGAACCTTTCCTTTTGGTTTTCTATTTGAAAGGGTTTTTTTTAGCATGCAGTGTTCAGCTGGGTGTCCTGAAAGATGTTTCTTTTGTAATTATTTGGAATCCTGATTATAAGTTTTGTATTTAGTGTTTGAAACCTCTCATTGACTGAACTCTGCATGTTGAAGGAAACCACTAACCATAAGCTGACATTACCCAATGTTTTACATAAGCCCTCATTTGTTTTTTGTTTTTTAAATCTCTTTAATCAATGTAAATGGCATCCCAGGTTTTGTTTAGGACAGTCTTCCTTTCCTCAATGTGTTCATTGCTTCAACTGATCTCTGCTCCTCACCATGTCTCTCTGGAAAATGCACTTAATAAGTGGTGCTGTTTCCTACCCTGGATCACTTTTACCTACATGCTTTTCCATCAAGACATCTTCAAGCTGCACATGATGAGTCTTAAGACGGTGGGTGATCCATTTTTATCCGCTACTTTATTTGATGGAAGTCGTACCAGCACTTTGAACGCACGGCTGTGAGGTGGAACCAGAAGGCTGTTTGAACTGTGGGATTGGTGTTTCCAAGGAATGAGAGGCTTGCGAATGAGCGAGAAAACGAGCGCGTGCAGAGACCTGGTGGTGCATTATGGATATTTTTAAGATTTGGCGATGTGTCTCTCAATCCAGTGGCAATGGTGAGAGTGTTAAGAGAGCAGTGGGAGCAAGTAACGTACGAATGTTTCTTGCATTCAAAAGACTTTGGTTCATTTGGAAGACTGAGGCTTTTCTGCCTAAAGCAATTGAATTGTTTGAAACTAGTTTTTGAAACTTCTTTTCCCTCTCCTTGAAATGTATACTGCTGTGAATGCTGTATGATGTGTGCATTTTTTCTGTTATTGAAATGTGAGTCAATGTGAAACCGCATTTGATGGGGGTGGGTGGTGAGCACGCTTTAGAGTGATTTTGAAACTCTCCTGTTTCCCAAGAGTGTTGGGGATGTTTTGGTCTGTAAGTAACTACAAGAATGCTGTTTGCTGCAGTCATGTGTTCTGTGTTTGGATGCTTTTTACAAGACTTGTCAATGTAGGATATTCTTAAATAAAACAATTTAATGAAATGTTTCTGGCTGTGCAATTGATTACAATCTCATTTTCTTTGGACTGCTCTGATTTACACTCTGATTCTGACACTTAAACTCTTGCTTATTAGCATTTGTATCGCACCCCCTATTCTGCAGCGTTGTACAATTATAGAATGGGGATATTTTACAATAAGGAATTGGCATACAGGATATAACAGACATAAGGTTAAGAAGGCTTTGCTATAATGAGGGAACTCTTCAGAAAGGAGTGGAAAGGTAGGCAAGGGATTTTGTGAAATGTGAATTTAAAAAAGTTGTAACTTGCTTTTTGTACACCACTGCTATAGCTTCTCACTTTCCCAACTGCCTGCCTTACATGAGCCACACTGTTTGTCAGGTTGGATGGTTAACCATAAATGTCCCCTTTCAATTGGAAGTCCTTAAACTATTAGAGTTTGAAAAGTGAATTCATGCTGGTATAAAACCAAGAAAGGGATGATTAAAGGAACACTAGTCACCTAAACTACTTTAGCTAAATAAAGCAGTTTTGGTGTATAGATCATTCCCCTGCAATTTCACTACTCAACTCACTGTCATTTAGGAGTTAAATCACTTTGTTTCTGTTTATGCAGCCACACCTCCCCTGGCTATGACAGAGCCTGCATGGGGAAAAAACGGGTTTCACTTTCAAACAGATACACTTATTTAAGGTAAATTGTATCTCAATCTCTAAATTGAACTTTAATCACATACAGGAGGCTCTTGCAGGGTCTAGCAAGCTATTAACATAGCAGGGGATAAGAATCTTAATTAAACAGAACTTGCAATAAAGAACCTGAATAGGGCTCTCTTTACAGGAAGTGTTTATGGAAGGCTGTGTGTCACATGCAGGGAGGTGTCCCTAGGTTTCATAAACAAAGGGATTTATCTCCTAAATGGCAGAGGATTGAGCAGTGAGGCTGCAGGGCATGTTCTATACACCAAAACTGCTTTGTTAAAAGACCACTAGGCACCCAGACCACTTCAGCTTAATGAAGCGGTCTGGGTGCCTGGTCCAGCTAGGGTTAACTTTTTAGAAACTGTTTCAGAGAAACTGCTGTTTACACTGAGGGTTAATCCAGCCGCTAGAGGCACTTGCGTGCTTCTCACTGTGAAAATCACTGGCTCTTGCCATGCATCCACATTCAGCCGATGTCGCTAGGAAGGAGGAAATTTCCCTGCCCGGCACTGGAGAAAGGTAGGATTTTTTTTAACCCCTTCCTCTACTCAGAGCATAAGCACAGATCATGAGAATTTAGTAGAGAAGGGTAGATCCCTTGTATTTAAAGGGACACAGTCACCTGAACTTTAGCTTAAAGGACCACTATAGTGCCGCCATTGGCGGCACTATAGTGTCCCTTTAAATACATCTGATCTACCCTTCTCTACTAAATTCTCATGATCTGTGCTTATGCTCCTTCAAATACTAGTCTAGTTTTGAGATCTCCTTTACACTATGGTTGTGTATCTATGCTAAATGTTCTTATGCCTTCTGCTACAACACTTATAAAACAGACTTTTGAAATCTAGCCTGACTGTTTCTGCATTACGTGAAAGGTAAGAGCATATATTGGAATACAGAATTAATGGGGATAAATGTAATTCTAGGATGCCTTGCAATCTTGAAAGGGATACTATAGTGCCAGGGGTACAAAGCTGTATTACTGGCACTTTCATCCCCCCAAGCTAAAAAGTTCAAAACCCCTTTACTTTTTCCAGCACAGATGTCCGCAGGGGCAGTGCTCCATCTGCCATCCCACGAGCGGGCGCTAATGCGCATGCATGGCAAATTCCCTGCCTGCATTAGACCTCTGCTTTCCTATGGGGAAAAAAATCTGATGCTTGGTATCATCATGCAGCGTGCAAGGATGTCCAGCATAAGACAGGACCAAAGGTCTGTTTGAACTCCGGAAGCCTCTAGTGGCTGACTGGTAGGCAGCCACTGTGGGCAGACTTAATGCTGCAATGTAAACATCACAGTTTCTCTGGAAGTGCAGTGTTTAACATTACAGCAAAAGGGAGAGTGCAGACACCCAGACCACTTCAATTAGCTGAAGTGGTAAGGTTGTCTGCAGTGTCCCATTTAGTATTACATTCTGATAGACTATATAAGAATATATATAATTTTTTTTTTTTTCTGAGCTGGAAGTGGTTTTGAAATTAGAAAACAGTGTTGCCATCACAGACCAGTCAAATTCTGGGCCTTCTCTTGCTTGTAAATTTGTCTTTCTGAGATGGTCAGAATTGCACTTAAACTCCATGCTTGAGGCAAGTGAAACCACTTTAATGTGTTAAAATTTATATAGTCTACTTATTTTGGCAGAAAATTTTAATTGCTTCAACTGTTGAATTAAGACATACTACAAATACACTTGTGGTTACAGTATAACTTGGATGGGTTTACCCATGTTTCTGGATAGTTTTTTCTATCCACTCGATATAATTACTCACTTTTGTGTAAACTCCATATTGGCCTTTTATGCCGCACTCTACCCCCCAGGATACAATCCCCCCATGAAACCATTTTTTGGTCTGGCGATCTTTGAATGCCAGTGCACCCCCACTATCTCCAGTGCAGGAATCCTTTCCCCCTTCTTCGTCACCGGCACATATCATGTTATCGTATACAATACGCTCCATCTTCTTGTATTGTGCTTTGCATACTGCATGGTCAATAACCTCTACTTGTACAAACTTTAAAAATCGTGTTTTGATTCTGTCAGCAGTGCTCCCCCATCCTGCCACTAATCCTATGTGATTATCTTGATCAGTATGGGAGATACGGAATCTTTCCTCCTTGGTTGGAAGGCAAATTGCCATAAGGTTCCTGCTAAGAGGGGCTTTATTTTTTAACTTGATGAGGGCAATATCATTGTTGAAAGTTTTATTATCAAAACCTTCGTGAATGAAAACTTCTTCTGCCACACCCTTAAAGGAATTCTCATCTATAGTGCTAATCATGCCCATTTTTATATGATACTCTGACAAATCCTTGGCCTTCATTACATGTGCTGCTGTGATAACCCAGTTGTCATACAGAAGAGCCCCTCCGCCTCTCGAATCAGTTTCTATTAGCACCTGCCAGGGGACGTTGCCCAGGTCTGCGTTTTTTCCTCCTATAATGCGCTGAATTGACTTTGAATCCACATTTATTCCACAATCTAAGAAAAAGGAAGGGATACAATGTATGTTACAATTCAGTTAATTATTTGATTATAGCAGAGCTCTTGATAAAATTTAGCAGTAGGTATCCTAAAATGTAGTAATCCCAAGAGCTAGTGGAATTCTGTATAGAATATAGTACACTATTTGAATTTTATTAACACAGGTAAGAACTTGACATATTCTTTACTGCTGTGCCATTATCATACTGCTATTGCGTTATACACTGATTGCTTTAGACAGCTGTCTGGATATGTTATGTGACATCACACTACAGGTAAATCTATTGTAAGATGAAGATCTTAAGTGTTCTAAAAACCATAACCTCTACAGCTGCTGTTGTGGCGTTAGGAGTAACCTAGCTCCCTTGGTAGTGAATCTGTTTAAGATTGTTTGACAACTTGCTTGCTCTATACCACTTTCTCTAAGCTTAGGAGTCTTAGTGTGCTTTAGCTCTCAATTTTTTTTTTTTTTTTTAAAGAGAAGATATTTGGCTACATTTAGCAATATTCATTTAATTCAATGAAAATCTTGAGGATTTTAGTGAACTACTCTGTATTTGTAAAATGTTCATGAAATGTCGCAGACAAGTGTGCTACAGTTTAAAAGGCATTTAAAATGTCTTCACAAGAAGGTAAACTACAATTGTTCATAGGCTACAAGTAGAGGGTCAAAGAAATTTTGTAAATTAATATTTTTAACCTGCTAGGCACCCTATGGGGCCTGGTCATTTTTCATCATTTTAATGGAACATTCCTGGCACCATAATCACTACAGGAGATTGACTTGAGGTTACACAGCACTACTGGCACGATGAGTGCTTCAGCACACTAGTGATATGGTGCTTGGAGTGTTTCCTGTAAATAATGCATATCTTTGTATGTTATCTATAGAGTGCTATTTACCTGGCAAACAGTTTGGCAGTGCCCTGCTGTTAGTAGAATCTTCCTCCCAATATCCTAATGCTCCACACCGATAGCGACCTAAAGCAGAAAAAAAAATATGTAGATATTTTCTTTTATTGAATTCTTTCTATATAATTACAATATTATTTGTTCCAAGCCAGATCTAAAGCTTTAGTTTGATAAAGTGTCAACTTTTGTAACTTTCTATTCTTTTTACTATTAAAAATTATCTTGGATTGAGAATTTTACCTAATTGATAATATGGAAATATATACTCGGGGCTTGCTTTATACTGACCAGTAGGTCACAACATGCTAAATTTGTGAAGTTATTTGGTGTTTTTTTCTGAAACGGCGCTCCACTGCAATGCTATCTCCTGTCCATGTGATTTTAATAGCCAACCATAATAGTGATTTGGCTGCCATCAGCATCCATCTCTGTGTAGGACCTAGACAAAGGCGCAGAGATGGATACACAGAGGTATCCGCATAATGTAGCCGTATAATTCTTCACTTTCTTTGGAAACAGATTTACACTGTGCTGCCTCTAAATATCTCACACTGTGTTATTTACTAAAGTGAGACTTGTCTTAAATTCAAAGTGAATTTCAAATTCAAGGCCTAAATAACTGGAAAAATTCTGTAATTCAGCAATGTTTCTCGTTAAGCTAATTTAGTTAAAGGGAAACTAAAGTACCTGGAAAACAAACTAATTTTCCTGGCACTATAGCTTCCCCCTCCCGCAGCACTGACCCCTTCAGTCACTTACCTGGGTCCAGCTGCACACGTTCCTCCCCCGCTAGCAGGGAAGACCTAATGCTCATGTGCGGCAATGGCCGCGCTTGCATTAGGATCTCCCCATAGGAAAACATTATTGAATGCTTTCCTGGAAAATCTGACGCTGGAAGTCCTCATGCAGGCCGTGTCTGTTTTAATTCCGGAGGTCCCTTTAGTGGCTGTCTAGAGGAGGTGTTAACCCTCAGAGGTAATTATTGCAATAATTTCCACTGCAGGGTTAAGGGTGATGGGAGTTTGCACCCAGACCACTTCAATGTCCCTTTAAGCTACTTTGCCCATACATTTGAAATTTTGAATTCCCAATGATTCTCATTTTAGGGAATGACCTTGCTAATGTGGGTATGTGAATAATTCTGAAATTGAGTTTGCAAAGCTTTTTATGTATAACTGAAAGTTTGTGGCTGGTTCCTTATGTACCTACAGTGTGAGTTTTAAAAAACAAAAACAAACGTATGTTAGAAAAAAGCTTTTCAAATTCCCATAGACTTTAATTTTGAAAAGTATTTCTAACAGGTTGTGGTAATTTAAAAAGTTTATCCCAACTAATTATATCTTAAATTAAGTATTTTGCTATAATGTAATTTAACAACCCCTCTTTCTAGATTGTACACCGATTGCTCGGATAGAGTCCTCTGCCCAGACTATGTGCTACCATAGATACCTTGACAATTCCCACACATTCTTGTTAAGTAAATAAGCCCACATCATTTCTTTCATTTTTAGCAGTTCTTACCTTTCTCCTCTTTCATGTAGTAATAGGGCTGATGGCATTCATACTGCACCAATGCTTGATACGTTGTCACGTCTTTCTCCGTTAAAAATGTGAAGTTTCCATTTTCTATCTCTTCAGGCATCCCGCAGTTCACAACTGTGTGTGACACATGGTAGAATACGTTAAATTTTGTGTAGAATACGTGCGTGCACGAGATACAAGAAGCTTTTCTAATAAATGCTTTGTTTTGATATATTAAAAGGGAACTGCACAGCTTCTACTTTAGGAATTCCCTGCCAGCTAAAAAAATGTGAACATACTTCCAAGTCACTGGTAGTCCTAAGAAATACATGCTGTTAGTAAACAGTTTGACTCTCTACTTGGGGGAGGGAATGCTGCTGTAGTGGTGGTTATTGTCCTTGGAGTATCCCTCTAATATTACTCTGCAGAGCTGTAGCCATGATTTAGTATTTGTGGTATTTTAAAGCCTTGTTGACAATACAAAAACTACTGTCCTTTTAATATTTTACATAATTAAATTTTCTGTAATCGTAGTTTGCCTGGATAATCAATAAATACAGCAAAGTAGATATTGTGTAAGTATTTAGTAGGATGGGCTCTCTTAGACAGCTACTCACTTTCACATTTTGGGACCAACTTGTCCCACATTCCATTCTTCTGGCACAGTGCAGTGAAGGAAGATAAAACTTTTTTTTCATTCTGGAAAACAAAAAAAGCCAAGCAATTTTTACACCTCTTCTATATAGTTACATTTCATCTCTCTCCATCATATAAAAAAAATAGCTGCCACCAGTCAGATTGTTTTTAATGGTTTAATAAATAATTGTTTCTTAAAGGACCACTCTAGGCACCCAGACCACTTCAGCTTAATGAAGTGGTCTGGGTGCCAGGTCCAGCTAGGGTTAACCCATTTTTTTTTTATAAACATAGCAGTTTCAGATAAACCGCTATGTTTATAAATGGGTTAATCCATCCTCCAAATCCTCTAGCGGCTGTCTCATTGACAGCCGCTAGAGGCACTTGCGTGATTCTCACTGTGAAAATCACCGTGAGAACACGCAAGCGTCCATAGATAAGCATTATGGGAGGAGAGGAGGAGGAGGAGAGCTCCCTGCCCAGCGCTGGAAAAAAAGGTATGTTTTAACCCCTTTTCTCTCCCCAGAGCCGGGCAGGAGTGGGGGCACCCTCAGGGCACTATAGTGCCAGGAAAACGAGTATTTTTTTTTTACTGGCACTATAGTGGTCCTTTAACTCCTAATGGCTGGTGGACGTACTATGCCGTCCTGAAAAATGTGGGCTTTAATACTGCAGGGTGGCATAGTATGCCCTGTGGATTTGGACCTTCCCATGCAATTGATAAATATAATTGGATTCTTTGACACTGACCGTGGAGGCCCTTTTCATGTCATTCACAACAGTAGCTTAAGTTACGCTTAATGTTGGGATTCTCTTAAATTTTGGTCATTTGCATTTAAAATACGAGAATAGGGACTGGAGACACAGTACATTTCTTTATTAATTATTGGCGGTTAATTTTAATGGTGTAGAATACACCAGAGATCTGAACAAGGACAGACCTTTGAATTTATTATTTAGACAGATATGTAATTCAAGTACGTTCCTAATATAGTTGTTTAATTTGATTGACAAGACGGCAACACTTAGAGTTTAGTTACTATGCAATACTGTGTTTGAGGTTTGCGCTTATAACAATGCACCACCTTTTCTTTATTCATCAGAACGAGGTGGTGTGATTCCCCTTCCCATCACTCTTAGTCACACGCACTTCACATGTTTATTAGTATTCACATCTTTATCACATTTGGTTTTGCATCCCACTCACCACATACACTCTTTCCCCTCACACTAGCTCGTTCTGTCTTTTATACAAGTATTAATCCTCTGTGCCAGATTCCCTGCTTACGAAAACGTCTTTTCGTTACGTTGTAACCACTGCATGCATACGTTTGCTCACTGGAGATAGTCACTTAGCAACCTAGGTTGATCACATCACACGTACACGACACGTGTGGTTTCTTGACACTTCTGGGTTGAATCAGTATTTGGGTTGTCCTACCTCTTGATTGGCAAGTCACTTATGTATTTTCTTATTTATACACATTATTGTATTGACACTGTGATCTTGATAAAGACCCAAACAGGTCGAAACATCGATTTGATTGGTAACACAGCTGAAATTTGGAAGATTAAATTAAAGGGATCCTGCAAACAGCAAACAGGTATGAATATTCTGTCAATGGGATCTCTAAAAATCCACACAGGATACAAGTTCTAAAAGGAGCTAACATACAATACTTTATTTTATTTGGGATTGGCCCATATGCTTATAATATTTAGATTGCTATGACAACTATAAAAAAAATAAATACAAACCTAAAGAACATTAACCCCTTAAGGACACAGCTTCAGAAGCTCGACTTACGCTTAATGACACAAGCAATGTTTGCATTTTCTTGCTGTTTGCGTTCAACTGCAATTTGCATCTCTCTCATTTATTGCACCGACACATATTATATACTTTTTTAAAGGACAGAAAGGGCTTTAATTTGATATA